CGATACCGATGCTTATGCACCGCACGAGCAAACAACAAGAAGGCGTCTTATAACTTTAACAGACAACACCAAAATGACTATTAGAAACACGCCAGCTGTAGTACGGGTACCTAACTTCGTAGCAGCTTCTGATCCAGAGTCATATTATTACAGTTTACTAATCCAGTATATGCCGTATCGCAATGAGGCCGAACTTTTAGGAGAATTTAATAGTGCCAGAGATGCGTTTCTCGCCAACGAAGAAAGTTTAAGACAAACAAACGCCTACTTGGAAATATATCGTGAACGTGACAGGCAGCTTGAAAATGCATTCGCGCATTTCAGATAATGGAACACGCAGAGCCGATGGAACTAGACCATGAAGAAGAAGTTCCTTATTTGCCAATGAATGAAGACCAGTTCTTACAGGCTAAGCAGTCTATGAATGCAGGACAAAAGGAAATTTTTACATTAGTTACCCAGTCCATACAAAATCAAATGTCAGGTGCTGAAGAACGTTTAAAAATATTCTTTACAGGAGGAGCTGGTGTGGGCAAGACTTTTCTATTAAAGTTATTACGAGACCAAATTAATAGGTGCTAGGCAAAGGATGCGTTTAAAGTCTGCTCACTAACAGGAGTTGCAGCTAGATTAATAAATGGAGCTACGATACACAGTGCTTTAAAATTGCCTGTACAGAAAGATGGTCGCATAACAGGTATGTCACCACTGTCCGGAAACTATTTGCGAATAATGAGGCAACAATGGCATCAGACAGAACTTTTGATTGTCGACGAGATTTCCATGGTGTCTTATCAAATGTTATGCATGATGGACGCTCGATTAAGGCAAATTAAGAACTGTGAAAATGAGTTTTTTGGAGGAGTAAACGTATTACTTTTCGGTGATCTTTTACAACTGCCTCCTATAAAACGATCAAGAACATCTGTTTTCAAACGGCCAGAACATCTCCAACCAGCTACACATCTCTGGCGTTTATTCACGCTGTGTGAATTAACTGAAAATATGCGTCAGCAAGGTTACCAGACTTTTATTGATATTTTGAATGCTTTGAGAGTCGGTGAGCTAACAACCCAACATTTTAGTATTTTAATGGGAAGACTTATTCAAGACACGAGTGATGAGTTTGCAATAGACAAAGCGTTAAGGGTATACCCCACAAATCAACAAGTTAACGACCACAACTCTGCTGTATTGAATTTGTACAGAAATAATGGTGCTCGCATTTACAAAATAAAAGCGCAGGATCAGCTAGTACACGCCACACGAAATGCAGACAGTGTGGATATAGCTACTATAATACCAGCTGATATCAACAAAACTGGGGGTTTACCAGCGGAACTGCAAATATTTGTGGGGGCAAAAGTCATGCTACGGTCCAATATTGACGTTTCAAAGGGATTAGTAAATGGCGCTATAGGCTACATCAACGAAATCGTTTGGCCTCAATTTCGTCGAACTCAGATGTATGCAACAGATGTACCTTCCGTCCGAATTGATTTCGCAAGAGACGGAGTACATCTTATACACCCGAGACATACAAGTACTATTAGGTTCGTATTTGTGGGTGATTTTAATATTAATATCATGGACAATAATAAAATCACCGAAAATTTGCACAATCTCTTAAAAAACTTTTATCTAACGTCACACATCAATCAACGAACTAGGTTGAACTTCTGTCTTGATCAGATATTTAGTAATGTGAATGATGCTACTGGAGAGTTGTTACCGTTTGCTCTATCGGATCATGAAATGGCTGAAATGCTACACGTTCCTGTATTTAACAAAGAAATACCACTCCTAAAGTACCATAGTGCCACACACGGCGACAGCCTACAGATCGCGCCTGCGATCATGTAATGGCCACCGTACTTTGGATCAGGCAGTGATCCGAAGAGCCAAGAGGGGCATCGGCAGAGACCTTGATATCCGTCCGAATGAGAGGTCAGCAGAACTTCCAGCAGAGAAGGTGCATGATCCTCTACATCTGGAATCCGCGTGGGCGAAGTGACCAGTTTTGTCAATTTACGCTAAGTACAATTACGGGACGGCTGAAAGAAGAATGTTGCCTTTAATACTATCATGGGCTTCTACAATACATAAAATGCAGGGCAGCACTGTGGGGTGCGAAGTCAGAAGTCCTCCACGTGTGCCTGGTAGTTGCGGGTCCCTCTCGATACGTCTGGAGGGAAGAGCAGCTACTGGGCCGGTGCACCCTGGGCGCGGCAGTAATCTTCCTCGAGAAATGAGAAGAAATTCTTACTCCTTGGGGAAGGTTACTGCCGCGGCTAATTATTCTGACATGGGTGGGGTCCGTCCCGGACCAACGGCGCGTTCCACTGCGTGACCCTCTGATCAGCAGAGGGCATAGCAGAGGAGTGAGGGCGGGCTCGGTGTGCACTTACCCTGCCTCCGGGCAGACAGTGAAGGATTCATCCTTTGCTGTCACTGCCGGTCTCGTAATCCCAGTATCGAAGTGTCGTGGATCATGTCTCGCGGCTTTGATTGGGACCGAGGGTCTTGGCTTAACCGCCCGGACCGCGAGGGAGAAAACCTCTATAAAAAGTTACCCCGAATCTCAAGCGGCGACGCACCGCGAGGGGATGGATGGCTGACGGGGTTCTATGAACAAATCAGTCGATAGTGCGCTCCTCGCCAGGGTACCTGCAGACCCCCTGGCGAGTAATAAATCCTCTAAATCTGCTTACCTTGGTAAGGGGTCACTGCCAAGGTGGACATTTAATTACTCCCATACTCGTGGGTACAAATATGGAAAATAAACAACAAAAAACCAAAACCGCCGGCAACGGCAACGTAGAGGAGAGGAGGAACGATGCGGGGACAGAGTCCGACGCCGCATCGAGCAGCGTGGGAGGCTCAGAGAGCTCCCGACGCGTGGAGCCTGGGACCGCGGAGACCAGTAAGTTCTTCCGCAAGCGGTCCAGGCGGGATGGCGACCAGGGGTCGTCAGCCGGAGAAGAGGAGACTTCGGCCCGGAAAATCCCCACCAACAGGCGGGGCGGGCTGAGAGGCAAGGGGAGGGGGCCCTCTGACAATCAGAGGGCCGAACAAGCGGCAAAGCATGCCGAGGAGGGGCGCCACCCGGGCGATACGGCTCGGGTATCAGGCGAAGAGACGGATGCGACTGGCGGCTCCGAGGTGGAGCGTAAGGCCAGATTCGTAAAGGAGGTGGAGGCCGCGATCAAGGCCGTGGCCCACAAGCAAAAGGCCTCCTCAAAGTTAAAGGCCATTCCCGCGGCCTCCGCCTCCATCATGGCGGCTGCGGAGGCCAACTTTGTTGGGGCCGAGCTTAATGTAAACGAGGTAGCGGAGCTGCGGGCGGAAGTGGCCCGCCTGACGTCCGCCATGGAGACTCTCCAGAAGGAGAACGAGAAGCTCCGCGCAGACCTGGCCAGTCTACGTGAGCCTGCCTCTCGCGCGGCGCCCCAGACGCAGCGCCCAAGCCAGCCCGTGCCGGTGGAGAACCAGGTTCTGAACCTGGTCCGGCAGGAGCTGGCTGCCTTCCAGCACCGGTTCTCCGTGCTGGAGGGCATCGTCCTGCGCCCCCCCCTAGGGGCAAACAAGACGGCGGCGAGGCCGGCAACGGTCTCGTACGCGGCGGCCACAGCTGCCGCATCCAGGCCGGGGCCGTCCAGCCAGCCTTCGGGCGGGGCTGCAGTTGCCCCTCCTCCCCCTGAAAAGCCGGCTCCGGCAAAACCGGTACCGGCTGAACCGGCTCCGGCTAAGCCGGCAACGGGAAAGAGAGGCAAGGCGAAGACAAAAAAGGGCAAAGCGGCAGCACAGGTGGTGGCTGCGCCAGCCCCAGTGCCTGCGGCGAATGTGCCAGCGCCAGCGGCAAGCCAGCTGCCGCCGCCGCCACCGCTCCCGCAGCTCCCTACACCTCCCACGGCTGAAGCCGGTTGGCAGGTGGTCGGGGACAAAAATAAGGGGAAGAAGGCAGCCAAAAAGGCCAAAGAGCAGGAGCGGCAGCGCCAGTTCAGGGCGCGCAAGATGGCGGCTAGGCTCCGCGCCCCGAAGACCGCAGCTGTAGTGATTACACTACAGCCGGACGCGGAAAAGAAGGGCGTTACCTACCGCGATCTGCTCGCGAAGGCGAAAGAGGCGGTGGATCTCGGGGAGCTCGGGATCACCGGGGGCCTCCGGCTCAAAGTCACCCAGACGGGGGCCCGTATGCTGGAGATCCCCGGGGAATCCAGTGGCGCGACCGCGGACGCTCTGGCTGCGAAGCTCAGAGCGTCCCTGGACGCGGACGAGGCCCGAGTGTCCAGGCCCGTCAGATGCGCGGACCTGCGCATCATGGGTCTGGACGACTCGGTATCGGAGAAGGAGTTAGTGGCCGCCGTCGCCAGGTCCGGGGGGTGCACTACTGACCAGGTCAGGTCAGGCGCCATACGCCCGGACCAACAGGGTATGCATGCCGCCACGGTGTGCTGCCCTGTTACGGCGGCCAAAACCATAGTGGAGGGCCGAAGGCTTCTGGTGGGCTGGGTCTCAGCGCAGGTTAAGCTGCTGGAGCCCAGACCTCTGAGGTGCTACCGCTGTCTCGTGGGGCACCACGTATCTGTGAAATGCGCCTCGGAGGTTGACCGCAGTGGCCTTTGCTTCCGCTGCTGTCAGCCCGGACACATATCGGCGACCTGCTGCGCCACGCCGCACTGTGATGTATGTGCGGCGACCGGCAAGCCAGCCGATCACCGGGCCGGAAGCAAGGCCTGCGTGCCACCCGCCAAGGCCAAGGCCGCGGGTAGGGGAGGGCCCTCCGCCGCCACCGCCTCTGTGGCCACCGCCGCAGTCGCGACTGCCGCCGCCGCCGCCGCCGCAGTCACTATCGCTGCCGCCGCCGCCGCGACACCGTCGCCCGCAGAGAGGCGCCCCGTGGAGGAAGCTGAAATGGAATGCCTATAACGGCCCCATTAAGCTTCCTCCAGGCGAATATCAACCACTGCGCCTGCGCTCAGGATCTGTTGCTCCAGAGCATGGCGCAGTGGTCGATCAACATCGCTGTGGTCGCTGAGCCGTATTTTGTCTGGCCTAGGGAGGACTGGGTGGCGGACCTTAACGGCTCAGTGGCCATCATTTCTTCAGCCGCCGCCGGTACCCCGACCCTTGAAGGTGTCAGGAGGGGTCAGGGGTGCGTAGCAGCACGGTTCGGGGAGTTCGTCGTTGTGGGGGTGTACTTCTCCCCGAACCGATCTCTCGCCGAGTTTCACAACTCTCTTGCAGAGCTGAGAGCAGTCGTCGTCGGAAGTAATCCCCTCCCCGTACTTGTCCTCGGGGACTTCAATGCCAAGAACTTGGCTTGGGGTTCTCGTCGTACAGATGTGCGGGGTAGGATGGTGGAAGACTGGGCTCTGGAGACAGGCCTGGTCGTCCTAAATCGGGGTTCTGTCCCCACGTGTGTGCGGATGCGGGGCGAGTCGGTGGTGGACATTTCGTGCGCTAGCCCCGCTCTGTCGCCGCGTGCCATTGACTGGCGTGTCATGGAGGGGGTGGAGACCTACTCCGACCACCGGTACATCCGGTTTGACGTCTCCACCCAGCCCTCGAGCGCGCCAGTCCAACAGGCCCCGAGTGGTCCGCGTTGGGCGCTGAAGCAGCTGGACCGGGAGCTCCTCCTGGAAGCCTCGATCGTGCAGGCCTGGGTGTCATCACCGGACAGGCCTGCCGACGTCAATGATGAGGCAGGGTGGTTCCAGGAGGCCATGTCCGAGATATGTGACGTGGCAATGCCCCGCGTCCGGCCAGGAAGCGCCCGGCGTCAGGTGTATTGGTGGTCGCGTGAGCTGACGTCTCTGCGCGAGGCGTGTGTCGCCGCGCGGCACCTGTACGCCAGGCATCGCAGGCTCCGCATTCGTCCACCGAATGCGGCAGCCATTGAGGCGGAGCTGTACGAGGGATACAGAGCGGCAAAGACCGCCCTCCGGGAGGCTATCCTGCGGGCCCGGGATCGGGCCCGTGAGGAGATGCTGGAGACTCTCGATAGAGATCCGTGGGGGCGCCCTTACAAGATCGTGCGGGATAAACTCCGCACCTGGGCCCCCCCGCTGACGCAGAGTCTCCGGCCTCAGCTCGTGGAGGATGTGGTGAGCGCTCTGTTCCCTGCGCGCGGGGAACATCCGCCCCCGCCTATGGCTCTGCCACCTGCGGTGCCGGAAGCGGACCACCAGGACGACGACGACGACATCCCGGAAGGGACCGGGGTAGACCTGAGAGTGGCGGTACGTAGGCTCAAGGCCAGGAATACCGCCCCAGGACCCGATGGCTTGCCTGGCAAAGCCTGGGTCCTGGCCTCGGAGGCTCTCGGGCCCCGACTGGAGGGGCTCCTAAGCGCATGCTTGGAGAGAGGCCAATTCCCGCTTCGTTGGAAGACGGGGAAGCTGGTCCTCATTCGGAAGCCGGGGCGCCCTGCGGACTCTTCGTCCGCATACCGGCCCGTGGTGCTGCTCGACGAGGTGGGCAAGCTCTTTGAAAGAGTAATTGCAAACCGCCTCGCCGAGCACCTTGCGGGGACGGGGCCGGATCTTGCGGAACACCAGTTTGGTTTCCGCAAGAGGCGCTCTACGGTGGACGCCATCATGCGCGTGAGAGCCCTCACGACGGGGGATGCAGTGGCCAGGGGGGGGGTTGTCTTGGCGGTGTGTCTCGACATCGCCAACGCCTTCAACTCCATGCCCTGGAGCTGCATTAGGGAGGCACTCCGGTATCACCGGGTGCCGACCTATCTCCGTCGTATAGTCGGGGACTATCTGACGGACAGGGCCGTCATCTACCCCGGTCGAAACGGAGAGTGGAACCGGCGAGAGATGTCGTGCGGTGTCCCACAGGGTTCGGTTCTGGGGCCGCCCCTGTGGAACATCGGTTACGACTGGGTGCTGCGCGCCGACCTCCCTACCGGCGTCAGCGTAGTTTGCTACGCTGACGACACGCTGGTACTGGCACAAGGGGGGTCGTACGAGGCGGCGGCGGAAACTATGACACGCGGGGTTGCGATAGTCGTTGAGAGGATCCGGCAACTGGGTCTCGAGGTGGCTCTGCACAAGTCCGAGGCCATGCACTTCCATGGTCCTCGGAACAGGCCACCACCGGGATCCTCAGTGATGGTAGGAGGGGTATCCATCGGCGTCGAGTCGACGTTGAAGTACCTAGGACTCGTCCTCGACGGCCGATGGAACTTCGTTGAGCACTTCCGACGTTTGGCTCCCAAACTGGAACGGACCGGGGCTGCCTTCAGGCGGCTCCTGCCGAACCTGGGGGGGCCAAACGCCTCCTGCCGGAGGCTCTACGCGGGGATCGTGAGGTCCATGGCCCCTTTACGGGGCCCCGGTGTGGGCGCGTGGTTTGGCGCGGCTTGCCGTCCACCACCTAAACGCGCCCCAAAGGGTGGTTGCCGTAAAGATGGTTCGCGGCTACCGCACGATCTCCCGCGAGGCGGCGAGCCTCCTTGCCGGATTGCCGCCATGGGATCTGGAGGCGATAGTCCTCGCGCGCCTGCACGAATGGCGCGCGGCAGCACTATGCCGGGGGGAAACCCCGCTGCCGCGGCAAGTTGTCGCGCAGCGGACAGACTTCCGGCATGATCTCATGGCGACATGGAGAGAGCGACTGTCGCAACCCCGTGCTGGGCACGCCACTATAGCGGCGATAAGACCCCTCTTTGAGGAGTGGCTTGAGAGACGCCACGGCGTCCTCACCTTCCGCCTGACGCAGGTCCTCACCGGACACGGTGTGTTCGGGAGGTTCCTGCACCGAATCGGGCGGGAGGAAACGCCCGGGTGCTCCCACTGCGAGGATCGACCGGAGGACACGGTGGAGCACACCGTGGAGGTGTGCTCTGCTTGGGCGGAGCACCGCCGTGTCCTCGTAGCGGCGATAGGCGGCGGCGACCTCTCGCGTCCGGCTCTGGTCGAAGCCATGGTCCGGAGCGAGACGGAATGGGATGCCGTCACCACCTTCTGCGAAGCAGTGATGCTAGCGAAGGAGGTGGCGGAGCGGGAGAAGGAAAGAGCAACAGCTTTCCTTCCCGGCCGCCGCGGGAGACGCCCCGGGCGTCGGGGGCCACGTCGTGGCCCCCGACCACCGTAGGCGCGGGCCTGTGGACGGCGAGCAATGGGTAGCTCGCCGTCCGTCCGTCTAACGACGACAGGCCGTGTCGACGGCGCGTTTTGTTCCACGCGCGCCTCAAAGAGCTGTCAGCAGCGTGAAGGGGCCCGCAAGGGCCGACGCCTGCCGGGGCTGCGGGCTGTTCGAAAGAGATACCGCGGCTCCGGAACGTAAGGGCACTGAAGGAACACGGATGGTTTTTAGTCAGTAAAAGTCTGACACTCCCTTCCGCTCCACCCACAGCGAAAGGCGTCATTAGATGATTTTCCATCCGCAAAAAAAAAAAAAAAAAAAAGGGCAGCACTGTGGATCACGCAGTCGTATACTTAGGTGCGAAACTGTTTGAAGAAGGTCAAGCCTACGTGGCTCTTAGTAGAGTAAGATCTTTGCAGGGACTACGTATAGAGGATTTGGACTGCAATAAACTAACGGGCAAGAAACCTTGCAATAATGAAGCACTAAATGAATTAAACAGAATGCGAAATAAAAACTAAAAACTAGAAAATAAAAATAGGTAAAAAAACTTTTTAAGTTAAACGGTTTTATGTTAAACATACATTGCAATGTTTAAGATAAATGTACTAAAAACCAAAAAATAATAAAATAGATACAGTCGTGGGAATTATAAGCATATGCATAGACTAGACTAAAATAAAACCGTGGGGCACGTCAATTGTCTACAATCGTTGATTATTGATATATTATGATTAAATACTTTCAAACGTATATTTTATAGTAATTTTAATTTGCGATGTAAGCCATTAAAAAAAGATACGTGCAACAAGTGTGATTCGCTAAGAAATAAAATAAAAAATTGTTCATCCGAAGAAAAGACAATATTAGTTGCAGAAAAAGAAGAGCATCTAAAACGAGCTGAAGAACTGAGAATTCAAATGAATCAAGATCTGCAAAGAGCTAAAATTGACGAGAAATTTGAGTGTCTGACGTATGACCTAGAAAAAACGCTTCCTCTTCCCCGGATACCCACAAATATAGTTTTTTACAAGCGCCAGCTTTGGCTTTACAATAGTGGTATTCATGCCAGTTCAAACGACGTAGGTTACTGTAACATTTGGGTTGAAGGAGAAGCAGGAAGAGGAGCACAAGAGGTAGGGTCGTGCCTCGTACGGTTCATTAAAAACGATCTCAGCCATGAAGTGGAAGATCTTGTGTTGTGGAGCGATTGCTGTGGGGGGCAGAATCGTAACATAAAAATTATTTTAATGCTGAAAGATTAAAACAATCTGATAATAAAGTAAAATGTATGTGGGCCATTATAAAGGAACGTACTAATAAAACAACAAATAAAATAAAAGAAAATATTGAAATTTTAGTGGATAACCAATATGTATCAGAACCAAAAAGGGTAGCTAATTTATTTAATAATTTCTTTACATCAGTTGGCCACGTCTCAAAAGCAAACATACCATCTCAACAAATACAATCCTTTAAAAATACATGTACATTAAATACTATGTTTTTATGTCCTGTTAAACCCGAAAAAATTAGTAACATTATCAAAAAATAAAAAAATAAATATAGTTATGGAATAGATGACTTACCACCGAAATTAATAAAAAAATGTGTTGATTCATTATCTTCTACATTAAGTTTTTTAGTCAACCAATCTTTTACGGAAGGAACGTTCCCAGATAAATTAAAAACTGCTATAGTAAAACCTATACATAAAAAGGAATCAAAAACAGACACTACAAATTATAGACCAATTGCAATGTTACCTACATCTTCGAAAATCTTTGAAAAGGCAATGTCAAATAGATTTTACGCATTCTGTGAAAAATTTAAACTATTTGATAATTCACAAAATGGTTTTAGGAAGAAACGATCAACGACACTTGCAGTATACAAATATATACAAAAAGTACTTGATATTATAAATGAAAAGAAATACGCCGTAGGTATACTACCTCAGCGGCACGGAATCTTGGCCAAGCGGTTATCTCGCGATAGCAAAAGCTTTAAGTGTTTCTGATGAATGTTTGTTATGCAGGTATGTCAAAAAATGTTTGCTCTCAAGTTCAAGAGGGTAATTCATTATGTTTAAGTGCACCATGACGAATTCTTTAATTTTTAGTTGAATCGGGTCATTTGAGCGACTAAGTTCACATTTTAAATTTGTGTGTTGTGAAAAGTTTACTGTAAGGTTATTCAATTATTGTGATCTTGTGTCTTAATTCAATAACTAAAGGTGCTTTAAAGCCAATAAAAATGCCATTAACACCAGCACAAGTTGCACAAGCAGTAGCATTAATTGACCAAGGGCTGACACAGCGTGAAGTTGCTATTGTGCTTAACGTACCACGGTCCTCAATGCAGTATTCACTGAAACGATACCAGGAGACAGGACGCTACACACGCAGGCCAGGCAGTGGGGGCGTAAGGTGCACATCGGCCCGGGACGATCGTTTTATTGTTATGGAGATTTTGAGAAACCGCTACCTGACCGCTGTTGAGATACGCCAGCGGCTCCAAATCGCAAGAGGCGTTAATGTTAGTGAGCGTACGGTGAGAAGACGAATGGAGGAAGTGAATTTAAAAGCTCGTAGACCAGCACGCGGTCCAGAACTTCTCAGACAGCACCGAGTAGCCCGACTTCAGTTCGCAAGAGAACATGTCAATTGGACCCACGAGCAATGGGCTAGAGTGTTGTTCACAGATGAGTGTCGAATAGCTTTACGTGCTCCAGACGGTCGAGAACGAGTGTGGAGAAAAAGAGGAGAGAGGTTTCTACCCATTACCACCACCCAAACTGTGAGTTTCCATGGAGGCTCAATAATGGTATGGGGAGGTGTAAGTTCCGACGCACGTACAGAGTTGGTCATCGTCGATAATCGGCTTACAGCTACTCGATACATCGAGGAAGTTCTTCAGGAGCACGTAATTCCTTATTCGGGATTCATTGGACACGACCAATTCCTCCTCATGCACGATAATGCACGCCCGCACGTCGCACATTGTGTATAGGAATATCTGGAAGAGGTTGGAATACAAAAATTACAGTGGCCAGCTCGTAGCCCGGACTTAAATCCAATTGAGCATGTATGGGGTATGTTCAAAAGAAAGATAAAGTCCAGCTTCAAACCGCCACAAACTCTAAATGAGCTCCGAAATGCAGCGCTGGCCGCTTGGGACAGCATACCGCAAGTTGATGTCAGAAACATCATTCAAAGCATGCCAGATCGAATGCAAGCGGTTATCAGGGCTAGGGGAGGAAACACCCGATATTAAAACTGATAGACAATAAAGAAACAGACTTAATTTTTAACTTTGTAGTGTTTTTAAAGTGACAATGGAAAGATGTTAATTTTAGTGAAAACATGTTATCTTGAAAAGAAAAATTTCGGTGAAGTAAACATTAAATTTCTACGTTCTAAAACCATTAGAGACACTTATTGAATGCATCTACCCTTAATTTACTGTTAAAAAAACGTTTCAGTGCAAATAATTAGCAAATTCACGAGTGGCCAAGTTTCCGTGCCGGTGAGTTAGATATGTCCAAAGCCTATGATATAGTACAATACCCAATACTGTTACAAAAGTTATATGACATCGGTATACGTGATACGGCATACAAATGGTTTAAATCTTACCTAGAAAACCGAAAACAATATGAAGAGATAGTGCATTATAACCATGACACTGGTGAAATCTGTAACGTTAGATCTGACGCAATCCATACTACTTGCTCCATCCCTCAAGGTGGCATTTTGGGATGTTTGCTATTTATAATTTATATAAACGAACTGCCTAGGGTGAAACCTCTGTTATATTTGCAGATGACATCTCTATTCTTATTTCACACACAAAAGACCAGAATTTAAATAATAAACTGAATCATGTATTAAACCAGGTCACAAATTGGCTGACACATCACAACCTAGAGATCAATTTTAATAAAACCAAAATTATGCAATTCCGACCAGTTCAGAAATCACCTCTAAGTATCGCTTTTAATTATAATAATACACCTATAGGAACTGTTGAAAACTTCAACTTGCTAGGCCTGGAAATTGACTGCCGTATAAACTGGAAAGCACATATAAATAAAGTTAAAAGCAGGCTATCCAGGTTCATCTACGCATTACGTGAAATAAAGAAAACCACGGATGTCCCCAGCCCTCTGTCGGCATATTACGCATACACATCTTCGTGACTATCATACGGTGTCTGTGGGGAAATAGTACTGATGCGCAGCAATTATTTATAATCCAAAAAAAATTATAAGAATTTTGGCAAATATAAAAATTCCAGAAAGTTGTAGGCCCCACTTTAAAAAACTTAAAATATTGACTTTCACATCTATTTATATTTGGGAAGCATGCAAATTTGTAAAAAACCATCCAGAACTATTTAACAAATTTTTTTTTCTTTATAGGCAAGTGACTACCGCTGCCCATGAACAACTGCAACACCAGGGAGGGAATTGCAGATGCGTTGCCGGCCTTTTAAAAAGGAGTAGGCTCTTTTCTTGAAGGTCCCTAAGTCGTATCGGTCCGGAAAAATCGCTGATGGTAATCGATTCCACAAGGAAGCCGTTCGAGGAAGAAAACATCTTCTAAATCGCACAGTGGTGGACCGCCAATCATCCAGATGGTGTGGATGGTATCGGGAGTTCTGCCGCGATGTGCGTTCGTGTAATTTGGCGGCTGGGATTAATCCGAACAATTCCTCAGAGCACTCCCCATGGTAGATGCGAAAGAAAATGCAAAGGGATGCAACATCTCTTCGCAGTGCCAATGAATCGAGCCGATCGGAAAGGGCTCGGTCGTCGACGATTCGAGCCGCTCTGCGCTGGATGCGGTCAAGTGGAAGGAGCTGGCACTGGGGAGCCCCTGCCCAGAGATGGGAACAGTATTCCATGTGAGGCCGAACCTGCGCCTTGTAAAGTTGCAGGCGGTGTGCCGGCATGAAATACTGTCCCGCTCTGCTGAGCACGCCAAGCTTTTTAGAGGCCAATTTGGCCTTGTCTTCCAAGTGACCACGAAACTGCACGTCACTCGATATGTCGACTCCGAGGATACCGATACTGGCTGAGGCAAGAAGGGGAGTGCCTTGAAACTGAGGAGATACGACAAATGGGTTCTTTTTAGCGGTAAACGCGCAAACTTGTGTCTTCTGGGTATTGAACTGGACTAGATTTAGTCGGCCCCAATCCGAGATTTTGTTCAGCAAAGACTCGACTTCAGACACAAGTTTGTTCCGGTACTCGGCGACGTTTTCCCGAGAAATATTGGCACGGCCGGTGTATAGAGCATCACCAGTGCTGTCATCCGCATAGCAATAAATGTTACCAGTTAGCAACATATCATTCATCAACAGAATGGATAAACATATTCTATATCCATATTAATGTTATATATTACTTAAATTCTATATTAATTCTATTACTTATGTATGTGTGTGTGTGTGTGTGTGTTTGTGTCTATGCTTGCGTGAGTTAAAAAGGGTATGTGTGATTACAGTGTCTGAATCTAAACAAATCATGCTACACAACCCAGTAGCTTCTCAATTTCGTCATATGTCTTATGATGAATCCAGTCTAACAAAAGTTTTTTACAGTTGTGATATGTTTTGTCGTATATATAAATATCTTTGTTTATTTTATTATAAAGAAAGGCAGAACGCGATATAAATTGTCTGCTCGCAAATGTGGTTTTAGTTCTGTATGTCTGGGCAACCATGTTTCTACGTCGTTTATTTAAATGGCATGGATCATAAGACAATGATTTGTGAGTTTTGAGGGTTGTCCAGAATATATACAACTTCCTGACAGAGAGTAAACCACTGATACGAAATAGAAAATCGGTATAAAAGCGTCTCAAAGTACATAACTTTAATAAGAGAACGCTGCGCCCTCTCTAACTCCAGAAATCGAGTTTTTGCTGCACCACCCCAGACAGGAATACAGTAGGCCAAGACGGATTGAGCAAGAGCAATGTAGATTTGATTGAGGAGATAATTTGGTGAGTCCTCATCCGATTTGTCCAGCATTACATGTCTGAGGGTTTTGAAGATCCAAGTTAGTTTCCTCATTCTATTGATGACATGATCAAGGTGTGGGTACCATGATAGTTAGAAGATAGATACCACAGAAAAAACAGCGTTGGTGATAGCACACAGCCTTGTGGAACACCAGCGTCAATAGGCTTGTAGTCAGAACATGCAACGTCTACAACGACCTTGATGCTCCGATCTGCAAGGAAGCTGGTGATCCAATTGCACAATTTCTCGGGAAGCCCATAGGAAGGGAGCTTCGAAAGAAGCGCTTTGTGCCAAACCCGATCGAAGGCCTTCGCAATGTCCAGACTAACGGGCAACGCCTCCCCCTTGGACTCTACTGCCTCCGCCCATCTATGGGTCAGGTAGACCAGAAGATCACCAGCTGATCGACTCCGACGAAAACCGTATTGGCGGTCACTAATCAGCTGATGATCCTCAAGGTACCGGATGAGCTGGCAGTTAATAATGGATTCCATTATTTTGGAGAACAAGGAGGTGATCGCGATAGGCCTATAGTTGGACGGGTCTGAGCGGTCGCCTTTTTTAGGGATCGGGTGAACAAAAGCTGTCTTCCATGAGTTCGGGACTACGCCTTGGGAGTAGGAGTACCGGAAAAGACGCGTTAGGACCGGTGCCAACTCCGGAGCACACGTCCTCAGCACAATTGGGGGGATTCTGTCAGGCCCATTCGACTTCTGGATGTCCAGGGAGAGAAGTGCTTTGCGAACCGAGCGCTGTGAGAACAGCACATCCGGCATGGAGCATTCACACCGCGAGATAGTCAGCGGTGTTTTCCCCCGTCATCAAGAGTCGAGTTGGATGCAAAGAGGGAGCCTAAAAGGTCGGCTTTGTCTTTTGCGTCTTGGGCCAGTGAGTCGTCCTCCCTGTGCAGAGATGGTAGTGATGGCTTACAGAAATTCCATTGGACAGCCTTGGCGAGAGACCAGAATGCTTGGGTTCCCGAAGGAAGGCGAACTAGTTTCTCGCCAATTCTGCCTATGTGCTCTGACTTTGTCTTGGCAATAACTCTTTTGAAGGACCTGGAGGCGAAGTTATACTTCTTTTTAAGTGTGCTGGTGTTTACATCCCGAGTCGCCGAAGCCGCAGCCCAGGCTTGATAACACTCCTGCTTACTGCGTAATTCAGTTTTACAGGAGCGACCAAACCAAGGCTGAGATCTGCCTCCGATGGGTACCACAGATGAAGGAATAAATAGTTCCATTCCCTGTAGCACCACATCAGTGACAGAGTTAGCAACAGCGCTGGGATCATCCGGCGAGAAGCAAACCCGCCCCCATGGGTAGGAAGCAAAGAAAGACCGCATTCCGTCCCAATCCGCCGACCTGTAATGCCAAACACGGCGGCAACCTGCAAAACGCAACCGCGAAGGGAGCGTGAGTGGCACCACACTCCAGATCAGACAATGGTCTGAAGAGCCGAGAGGGGCATCGACGGAAACCTGATATCCGTCCGGATGAGAGGTCAGCAGAAGGTCCAACAGGGAAGGTGTATGATCCTCCACATCTGGAATCCGCGTAGGCGAAGTAACCAGTTGTGTCAGACCATATGCCAAGGCAAAGTCATAAACAGATCTCCCCGCATGATCCGTTAAACGTGAACCGAGCCATTCGGCGTGGTGGGCGTTAAAATCGCCAAGGAACACGATCTCTGCGGATGGGACCTGTTGTAGCATGGAATCTGTAGCCATTTGGACGTGGTCGATGAGTCGGTCTGTTTCGGCATTACCGCTATGGGACCTATAGAGGCACCCGTAGACGCGCGGATGGTCGTCGCTGTCTACGCGTAACCAAAGGATGGACAGGTCCGAACCTTCAAGACTGCCGAGGCGTCGAGAACAGATGTCCTCTCTGACATACACGCAAACTCCAGCCCGAGGCACAAAGGAGTGCTCCAATTTGTACCCCGGGTAGGAGAGATACGAAATATCAGCCGGAGAGGAAACCTGCGTCTCGGTCAGAAAGAGCAAGGCCGGCTTCGCCGTCTCGAGATGGTGGTGGACGGCGTTTAGGTTAGAGTGAAGTTCCCTGATGTTGCAGAAATTCACGGATAGCGTGGCAGGGGTCGCCTTGGTATTGTTGCTCAGTTTGCCCCGAGCAGTTATGTTTTTGAGCGGAATTTTGCCCCCCCCCCAGAATACGCGGGGCAGCATGAGCACCCACGCTCAGGATTGGAATAACATGGTCGTGGATGCTCAGCGAGGGATTCTC